TCACTTGAAATTAGTACTGGCTATCGAAAAGATCCAATGCCTCATATAGAAGAAGAAAATGCTCATCATACAGCAATGTTATTTGGTTTTTTTTTCTTGGTTCATGGATTGAAATACTCGTTCATTTAAAAGTTCCATTACCAAAACGTACAACACAAGTCATGGGTTTTTTAGCATTTGCTATTGAAAGTGTCATGATGGTATTTCATTTACATGCTCGAAATGTAATGGATGCTCATATACATAAATTACTTGGTTTAACAATGATGTGTTCAATGATTAGTGCTTTAGGTGAATGTTTTAATCCAAATAATTTCTGGTTAATTATTACACGAATTTTTTTTGCATTAACACAAGGTACATGGTTTATTCAAGCGGCTTATGTTTTATGGCCACAAACAAATAATCCAATATTTATCTGGGATCCTCAATCTCATCGATCATTATCATTATTAACAATGTCATATGCATATCATTTAGCTGGTAATGCTTTTCTATTGATTATTAGTTATTTATTAGTTTATATGTCAACATCCTCTCGTCGAAAATTAATTCATTATGAAATTGATGATGATGAAATAATGTCGGATTATAAATTAATATCAAATATCAACGATGAAGACAATTGTATTTAGAAAAAAAAACTTGTTTGTGTTTAGCTTCTAATTAAAATAGATGCTTTGTGTAGTTTTAAACAGATATTGTCATTTGTTGTTGTGGTTACTTGTTTCAATAAAATAAATTTATTCGAGATGAAAATTATCTTTACATATCTATGTCAAGCGTTTCTAGCAATTGTTGCGATACAAAGTTAGTTATTTTTCTTTGCTATTGGTAATAATTTTTTGTGTAGATGTAGAAGAAGATTTATTACTCAATGGATTAGAATTTCCATCGTATATTTATATACCTATAGATAAATCTTATTTATTAGAATGTGATTCAAAGAATGTTGTATATTGGAAATTGTATTTAAATAATGGAAAAATAGAAATTATAAATGATAAAATGATTCATTTAAATGAATTTGATAGAAATCGTGATGGATTTTATCAATGTCATTCATATGATGATTCAACCAATTTTCGTAGTGTTTTTATTTTTTCAAATGGTAATTTATTTGATTTTGAATATTTTATTTATTATGTAATAATAGGAGCACGTTCTATTGATCGTCATTGGACAAAACTAACAGAATTTCATGATAATTTAATAACTACTTGTCGACCTATTTATTTTACTTATGGTTTTAATGAACAATTTATTGAATTAATTGACAGTAAACAAACTGTTCGTTATAATCGTAGTGCTCTACTTGTTAAACATATTCGAAGTACAACACATCTTTTCTGCAAATTATATATAGATACAACATCCGTTGGTGTACGCGTACAAACATTAATAAAAAAAAGTATTATTTTAATTCTCTTTTTTTTGTTTTATGTTAAAAAATTATGATTCTATCTAGATTTCGGTGATCCACTTTTATCAGATAAATATTTGAAAGATAATGATTATTTCGAAATGAATACTAATGAACGAGATGTATATCGAATTGCATTTGAAGGTATTAAAAACTAAAAATTTTACATACGGAATATTTCCTCAAGATTAAGGATATTTTTTCAATAGTATTAATAAGTACATATATACATAAACTTTATAAACTTCTTTATTAATTATTCAAAATTTGTTAGAATGGTGGAAAATTTTAAAACAAAGATTTCAAAATATAACTCGGATTTCGTTTTTATTATAGCCTGAACGATCATAATATTGCTGACTGCAGATATATGAGTTACAAACAATAATAGTAACTTTGTATGGTAGCGATCCTCTATGTTTGTGCTGTAACTTGTAATTACTAGTATCCTTTGTGCTACATATTTTGTCAGATGTTTATATTCATTTACATAGATATGCATATATGCTCGAAAGAAATGCTAATTGTTTCTGAAAATCTAGAAATATTTTCATATTTTTGAGCATAAATAAAAAAAATGATCTATACTAGTATTACAATAATTAATTTTAAGAATAGCTAATCTAATTCATATAAAAACATTATATTAATTATAGATGATTCCATCTATTTGCATTGTCCATCGACAACAATGTTACCTATACAATGGTATTTTCTTTCGTATAATTACTATTTAATGAAAAATCTTCCGACGATATATGATACAGATACAAAAATTAATTCTGTCGAAATTACGGATGCTGGAATGTATATATGTCAAACAGAAAATACTATTCATCGAAGAATTATATTAACAATTCTTCGTAGGAATATTAGTTATTATTGGAAAGGTTATTTTAATATTATATTTTATTTAAGATCCACCAAAATCTCCTGATAATATTTATGTACAGACAATACATGTTAATTTAGATTCAAAATATTTACTTTGTTGTCATTTGGATGGTATTCCTTACCCAACATATTCATGGTCGATGAATACAGAATTTCAGAAAACATCATTTGTTTGGTGTACGAAACGTTGTTGTTGGTTACATGTAATCTATAAAAAATATGAAAATATTATTTGTACATCAGCTAATAAATTTGGAGTGACAAAATATAATATTCATTTGATTGTACAAGGTATAAAATAAAACGAAAATAATTTTTTGATAACGATTTATTTATTAGATATTGGTTTGAAAAGTACTGTATTTTATGATGAACCACACATTTATAATTATAATCATACGGATAATTTTAATCTTATTCGAAAAATTGAAGAAAATCCGACTACAAAGCCAATGGTTATAACTACAGATATGGAGTAAGATTTGAATTATTCAATTCGTTTATTTTATTTAAATATTTTATAGAACTCATTCATCGGAAATCAAGGTAAATATTAGAATAAAATATCTTCAATAAATATTTATCTTATTTATTATTTATTAGAAAAATGAGAAAATAGACGATGAAAAACTGATTCCAAACTAATGTATTCTCATCAAATGACTTTGAATAAATCGATTAATTAAGAAAATATAAAAAAATAAATTAACAATATTCAATCCCAAACAGTTCTGTGTCTTGATGAAGCTATACGAGCTAATTCAGCATCAATTATACGTTTACTAAATACATATGAATACGGTAGAGAATTTTGCTTAGCAACTCTTGGATGAATTGATGCATATCGATGTTTATTTGATGATACAGTTGGTTCTGATGCTAAACGTTCTTTCGGCTTCGGATATGATGGTATGAAATGATAATATTGTTTTTCAAGAGCGGTTGTATATTCTGGATAACTTGATGAATTGAACTTTCTTGTTCTTCGAGGCGTAACAATCGGAGGTAATATATTAGATGACATAAGTTCTTTGTTGATTACAGGCTCTTCATTATAGTATGCATGAGATTTTTCAATAGTCTCTTGCTTTTGAAGTAAATTATGTTTTCTTGTAAGTCGAGGAGAAACAGCTGGAGGTGACAGTTTAGGTGTAAGAATGTCTTCTCTAATTATAGGTTCTTCATTTTGATTTGAATAAGAATTTTTGAAAGCTTTTTGTTGAATTGGTGTAGAGGAAATTGTTTCTTTAATAATCATAGCTTTTTCATCTTGATGTGAATAATTATGTTGTTGGTGTTTCGAAAGTGAAGGTTTTGATGGAATGTTTTTTTGATTTTGTTTTGAATGATGATTATGTGTTGATGATACTTCTAGAGAATTTATTGTTGTTAATGATGATCTACGCTGATCATCTAGTTTTGTTGATGCTGCAGATGATGAAATATGATTTGTATGTCTACTTAATGTACTATCAAGTGATTGTGATGCTCTTGGACTATACTTAATTGATGTAATATCAGATTCATCCGTAGAAGTTTTATCTGAATATAGTTTAGCATGTAAACGTTGCCGTCTCTTTAAACGATCTTCTACTGTTTTTGTTTGCTTATTCGATGCATTGGTTGACATATTTCAATAAAAATAAAATTATCTATAGAAAAAAATATAAATAAAAACGTTTCTTTCACTTAAAAGGTAACAATTTAAGAAAGTACTCTTTTTTTCTCTTTTTACTATAAGAAGAAAATAATATATCTTCTATTTCTTCTTTTCAAGTCTATTTTTACTATTGAACTCGATGATATAATTCATTTTTAAAATAAAAATAAATTGATCTATAAAAAATAATAGATTACATAAATGAAGAGATGGTGCGTGAATCCATTTAATAATATGAATAGTGATGAGATGATGAAGTATAAAATGACTAAACACTATAGTGAATATAAGTGAATGAATGAACACATACAAGTTGTATTTTTTTTCTATTTTGACGGTTGAATACCAACTTATTCTTTTCTTTTCTTGATGATAATTGAACCAGAGAAGAGCGCATATGGAACAATTCTCGATGCACTACCACTTTTCTCCTTCTTCTTCTTCTTCTTCCTTACCATCTTCTTATTATGACGTGAGAGAAACTTAAGATGAAATCATTTTTTTGTGAAAGGTAATATATGACATTGATTATAAACTTATGTTAGTTTAAATGAAAAAAAAAGTAAGTAAGTAAGTAAGAATAAATAAAACTTGTTAAAAAAATAGCCCATCATTTATTTTAAAAAAAGTTTCAAATAAAATAAAAGTTAGACATGTTTTACATGTCATTGACAATTCAAATGGATATAAATCACATCATTATTAAAGGTAAATGCAAGGATAAAAAAAAGAACCTTTTACGCTTTGTTAAAATATTGTATGAAGACTTTAAAACTCGTTCATTCGAAATAACCTTCATCAATATATTCTAATATTTATATATATATATATATACATTTATTATTCATCCAGAATAATATGATGATTATATTTATTAGTATGCTGAACAACAGTTTCATTTTTCTCATCTTGAGAGACTTATTGAGAATGCAAAGTACTTATTCGTGTAAGGTAACACATTCTATCATAGAATCATTGAACAAGACATATCCTTGAGCTGACGAATGATCACACATATATATACATCTAGTGAACATGTAAGAAGAATGCAAGTCTATTAGACACGCAGTGTAATGTTTGTTCTATGATAAACGTTACAATTTCTCTTTTTTTTTTGATTATGTAATTCCTAACTCGCGCATATGTAAATATGGCTTTCGTCTCAATCAACATCTTATTTCTAGATATAGACATTAATCGATGTCTTACTATTGCTCATGTCATTAACATATATATTTATTTCCCTTCTAATATTTTCAATGTCGATTATTTGTTACGCAAATCATCGTTATCAACGACAACATTTACAAATTTATTGGAATTCATCGAATACACTTTTTCAATCATCAGGATATTTAACTGTTTATCTTGGTGATTTAATTGATTTTCTTTGTCCTTATTATGATAATGAATATACAAATTTAAATATTGAATATAATACAATTTATCTTGTTAATGAAAATGATTATTATCATTGTAATACAACAAATTATAATCCATTAATAAAATGTAATAAACCATTTGATCTACAACCATTAGTTTATACATTATCAATATCAAAATATCTACCCTATCCAAATATACCTGAATTTGCTGATGGACAATATTATTATTTTATATCAACATCAATGGGTCAATTAGAAAATATTGATCAACATCATAATGGTTTATGTTATACAAAAAATATGAAATTAATTCTTAATGTTCAAAAATATACTCGACATTATCATGAACAACAACGAAAAAAAAACATCGAAACTTATAATAGCTAAACGAACAAATTTAACTTTTGTTGATCCTGATAAACGTACACTCTCATTTTCATCATTGTCTTCAATTACTAGTCAAAATTTTTATTATACTTTCACATTGCTTGTATTTTGTTTATTGACTAAATCAAGAAGTTAATTGATTGTTTGCGTGTGCGTGTGTGTGTGTGTGTTTCATGATTTCAATTTTAGTAGTAAAAGTAATATGATCTGATTAAATGCTCTTCAATAGACAACTGTTGAGAAGAAAGAAGAAAAGTGCTTTTAAGAGTTCGTCTTTCTATTTATCGTTGTTTTGATTCATTTCTCCAACTCATAAACACTTGATCATGAATTATTTTTCATTAATATTCCTATTAATTCTTATTCCTATTATTTCATGTAATTCAATATATTTTCATTCCGAAACTCGTTCAACACGCCTAGTTAATCGTACATTATTTGGTTCAACAACTGAATGTAGTATACGTTTAGGTGGAAAACAATTTACATTGAAATTTTATCGAATGATCACATGTCGTTATGTTGAAAATATTTCCACTATTTACCCATATTTATTAAAATATTCTCATGATATATCAACATTAGAAATAACAGATTCAACTATAAAAAATTTCAATATAAAACAATATGCAAAAGTATTTCGTAAATTTGAATTTTTAATATTTCATCGAACAACAATTGTAACAAAACAATTATGTCCATTTAATTCTTTATCAAAAAATTTATTATATTTACATTTAACACGTGTATCACCTAGTTTAGATAAATTATTTTCTAATTCAACATGTTTAATTATGAAACGTCTTCATGTTCTTATACTTGATCATACAGATTTAGGTAATGAAAATTTATTAATTGAAAAATTTCCTAATTTACATATATTACGTTTAAATTTTTCATCATTTAATCATCCATTAAATTATACATATATTCGATCGTTTTCTTATTTACAAGATTTTTTATTAAAAGTTAATGATGATTGTCATCGATGTGAATATGAATGGTTAAAATATGCAACACGAGATAATAAATATGTACTTTTTCATATTAGTACAAATTCTGGTTGTATGGATTGGAATAGAGATGGAAAATTTCTAAAATGGCAACATGCACCACTTTGTGGTACATGTTCATTACCATTAATTATTAAT